AGACAGAAGAGTGATGCTTAAAGGCATATTTTTTATTTATCCCGAAAGTAACTTACCGAGTTGTTATCAAAAAGCTTACTCGGATTAAAGATCGTACTGGTGCTAAACAACCTGTGAAATTGCTATGTCTGACTTGCTGTCATTTATAAGGAGAGAAAATGTCTTTCCAACAATCAGTCAATTGATGTGCGTGTTTTTCACTGTTTTCTTGAAAACTGTAATATCGACAGAGCTGAAGGTAAGGTTTTGAACGTTCTTCTATGCTTTTTGAGTGGTGTTATTATTGGAAACGAACCAAAAAACATGAAAAGCAAATGATCCTATATGCTTTAAATTTGAGTGAAAAAGCAAAATATCAGTATAACATGATACTTTATTTAATACACGAAACAGGCATAGGTTTAATGACAGTGTGCGTGAGAATTTGGGCAGTATAGAAAGGAGGCATCGCCAAATGATAACCAATTCATTAAACCCAAAGTGCCCAGGGCATGAATTTTAATGAATCATTATCATTTTCCCACTTAACGCCCATTAATCTGCATGATATAAGCCCGGAGTCTACTCCACAAATAAAACTGCCAGCCTGGGGAATAGTCCCCACAGAAAGCAGAAATCTTTTTAGCAAACAAGCCATTCGAAACGCGAAACGGCGGCAGTACAAATCCCCGGCAATTGTTGGGCGAGCATCAAGTGCAACGCGCGCAGCATCATAGCAAACTGATAGATGACACTGCAAAGCTTCACGTCAAACACTAATTGTGCCCGACTGAGAACACGCAGGCACTCCGATCGGATCTTCAATTTCAATTCTTTAAATTGTTAATTACTGTATATTTTTTGGTCCATGCGGGCTTGATGGAATGAAATGTTCAGGCCGGGCGGATTAATTGCGGGTTTTATTGGTTTGTTCAGTCAAGTGAGGCCTGGGCCCCCGTGCTCCCTGCGCGCAACACCCCTACACCAAGCCAGCCCCTTTGTTGCGCATTCGTCAGGGCCACGGAAAATTACTCCGTTTGTTTAGTTTCGTTAGGCCCTGTTGATAGCGTTTTATTAAAAAGTATCGAACCGTTGGTGCCGGTAATAAAAACCATCTCCGTGCCCCAATGTCAATGGTATCATTTATTATTTGTCAAATGGCGAGCGGAATTGGACTGTCCATGAAGTCGTTGGAAATGAAGGGGGCAATAAGCGAAGGGCCTTGCAGCGGTCGTGATGTCAATAAATGGACGGCGCACGAACGGTGCCAGGCCCCGCTCCGTTCCAAGTGAGAAATTGTTGATTTGCTAGTTGACTTGACCTTAAGATCCAACAGACAATCGCGACAAGAGACTTCAAAACACTGTAGTTTGGCTGTGTAGCATCTTATTATCCTTTCGATTTGGCATTGATCTGAAATCCTCCAAGTCATATTCAAAATTACTTCCCCACTGTACAGATAAGTGCAAGCATAACTTAAAGTTTTATTTTCAATTTCAAATTTGCTGTCTTCTTTTAAAATGTATACGCGTCATTCTGTTCGCCTGACGGTGTTCTAACTTTCACTCGTTCTGTGATATTATGTTGTTTCACAAAACAATTCAACCCCTTCATCAAGATGTTGCCAACTGTTTGTTTGTATTTGGTAAAAGTAAAACCTCTCTTGTATCGAAGTCAGTATTCAAGAGTTACGGCAAAAAGCAATCAACCTGGTAGAAAAAAACCATCGTTTTTGTTTCCTCAACTTTAATGCAGCCAAGGATCTGACACGAAATCGTCAACGGTTTTCTGTCTCCTTGAAAGCCGCTCAATAATCGAAGGGAGGAGAAAATGAAATACAAAATGCATGCGATTGACTGCCTTGATATCAGGAAAAAAAGGAAGTACGGGCGACCAGACACGAATCGCTAATTCTTCACGGCAATTATACCGAGGACTTTGGCCAATATTCCCGGCAAGGTGGAGCTGCGGTGCGCGGTCCGTATACACTCTACACGGAGGGAAAAACCATTGATGCCAATATCACGATGATTAGTGGTGTTTGCCAGCGCAAAACCACGGACCCACCACCCGCAATAAACCGCTTGCAATGTTTTCTTTGGCTTCATCGGATCGATGTCTGAGTTTGGTACTGGATAATTTAGAAAGAAACAGGGAATGATCGATAATGGTACTAAAGTGGATATATTTATATTTTAAAACAATTCACCTCCCGAGTAGGTTTAACAATACCAAAAAGACTATACAATTTATTTATGATATTCAAATCTGAATATTTGTATAGTTACAAAATGGATTTTAATTTCTGTAAATGTTTCTGCCCATTAATTTTAACTGTTTGCCTCTAAGTTTCTTGCTTATTCTATTGTAGAAGCATGTCAGGTTTTGAACCAAACTTCAGCAAAGACATTCACAAAATGGGGCAAGCGCCAACATAGGGTAGCTCGGTTGGTAGAGCACGGGAACGGCAATCCGGAGGTTGCAGGTTCAAATCCCGCTCCAGTCAATTTCTTTATTTAACTTTAAAATTAGAAGAAAACAATGAGTTTGATATGAAACTTTGCTTGAGAGGATGTACCGATGGAAAAGCGATGAGGGTTTAAACTCCAACATGGTGGCGCTTTTGTCAATAACATGCCAATTTGAACAAACTTATGTCTTACGTAATTCGGCAAGGAAAACAAATGGGCAAAATGTATGCTTGCAGGGAATTTCCCCAATCTTAATGACACACTAACGGTGTAGATAGATTCTTCTGCAAATTTCAGGTAGGGTCTTATAGTTGGACATTGATGCCTTTCAAGCGGGGCACTGACTATGTTGTCCAAATAAGGTCAATCATTCAATCACATCCAAACATTGATACAGCAACGCCCATTATTATTTTAGTCTCTCATCACACGAGAGAACCCTTTCTTCAGATGCCCAACTCGGCACTCAATCATCCGTTTCACCACGGCGAAACGCAACGACAACAGAACACCGAAAACTGCCAAACAAAGAATTATTCTTGACATTTCACGGTGAAGGGTTGACCTAGATATGACTGAGATGCCCACTTGTCAAATTAGTGATGCTCTTCAAATTTTGAATGGCTACTGTTCACAAAAGACTGAAGACCAGCAGGTGAAATTAATAATTTCTGACCGAATCTTGTCATTTCTGTGCAGCATTTCACGGGGGTTGCGTTTGTAAGTGGGCACGGCAATTGGCCCAACGCTAATATTGCCTTCTGCGTATCTTGAGTCTTCAAAACAGCTTGAAATTGACTTCACGCTCTCGCTGCAAAGGCTATAGTTCTGTTATTGACGTTTTTAAGGCTATATAATAATTCACCTGAACTGTGCGATAACAGGTATATAGAAGCCAAGGCTCAATATAGTTCATGCGAGAATACCTTTTGTATCATGGCGAATTCTTAGGTCGAGAAGGCGAGGTGGTGCCTCGACGATTGAGGATATTTTATTTTTGTCCGCTAACGAATGCTTCACTCAGCCTTACGTCCAAAATGTCTGATGATTGCTAAAGAAACATCTCAAACCTTATTTTTGGAGGAGAAAGGCCAATTGTTGTGCGTACTGCCATCATGAGTATAAATAGTGGGGGCAGAACGTTTTTAAAATCGAAGACAGTTTAATGTCCGCCTCCACCAGTTTCGGGGATTAGTTTCAGCTAATCATCCCAAAGTTGTTTGGATGTTTGTTTGTTAGGTTGTTTGCGTGTCTGTTTGTTTGTTAAGGATGTATACATGTACGATGAACTTGTTTTCCTCGTGCTATTGTATTATCATATCATTTTCTTGTGCGTTCTAATAATTTAGTCATTAAAAGATCACATGGTTAGACATTAAAACAGTTTTAACTATTTGGGTGTCCAATGGGTAAAGAATTATACCCCCAAAAAAGAGTTACAAAATTGGCCAGAGTAAATCCCAAATCACTTGATGGGAATACGTGACGATGTCAACCGGCTATAACGTACTACATGTACTTGTCAAGTAAGGAAACACCTTCAATGAAATTTCTTTATTCTACCTTCTTCAATTGAGTGGTTTTAAATTATCAGAACAATCAACACTGATATATAGGGGCAATTACTTATTGATTCTAGAAATACGCCAATATTATCTGATGTTCCTTACAATAAAAGTCTGTTCATGAAGATAAAATTGCCGAATAGATGAGAATTGAATTTGACAGATGGTACTGAAGCGTGAATGCGCTCGAGCCATGGTGTCAGGAGGTCACGCCCTCTAGTGACCACAAGTGGTTATGGCACTAGGACCACCCAACCCAAAAAACCGCACGAGCCAAAGGTCCGGCGTTTTACACACGCGTACACACCCAGAGCGCTGTCCACAGAATTTTCCCTCGAAGAAAGTGCAACTGTTATTCTGCCACGGAGGGGGTAAAGACACCTTGGAGAAAAATAACGAAAATCTGGTATGGGCATATTACTAGGAAATGTACCCATTCACCGTGCCCGCGAATAAAAAAAAATATTATTTGGAAAATTTGGCCGAAATACCATAGCACGCGCCCTCAAACTCAAAGTTAAAAAAAGAAGTTGCAAAGTGACTTGACTTAAATTTTCGCATGAATATGGTCAAAATGTTCAAAATATTAAAAAGAGGAAAAATTGTTTTGGCACCAAAATTACATTTAAAAACCCAATATTTTTCTAGCATGAGTTTCAAGTTAGTTTTGATCACTGCAATGAGAAAGCGAAAGGAAACGAAAACTGAAAGATTTAAATAACTAACCTTGAAAATTCCAAAAGACAATGCCTCGAGTGCGGAGTGAGAACTTTTTGAAGTGGAGACCGGTTCTTCTGAAGAATGATAGCTGTGAGTTTGAACATTAAAAAAAATATGACATTACTAATACTACGCGAAAATTCGAGAAAAGGTACAAGCTAGTTGAAACAGGTGCCCAATTAATTACCGCCGAGTCTCCGTTACGCATCCCTATTCTAAAGTGGAGTGACCCTCTGACCCCACGTGCGTGAAAGTGCGTCGCACGTCCAATAATAATGTGTTCATTTCATTCATTGACAAAACACAAACCACGAGGAGAAATATGTGCACATTACGCGCACTGATCGCGGTCTGTACACACACTTGCATAGGCGATCACTGTACACACAAGGAGGGATTGATTTGCAAATGAAATTCGGCAAAATCGTGCACAGGACATTATCAATCAAACCACTCTTGTTGCTGCGTGTGTTTCGTTGGTGGTAGTGGTGGTAAGAAGACGGTGGAAACATTAACAATAGAAGCGGCCCGGGAACTTGGGCATAGTTGCATCGGCGATTGCAGCGTGGTGGTACTGTTATTACCTCTGCTTGATTCTTCGTGAAGTAAAAAAACTCCAGCTCCGAACTTCTTTGGACATCTCGTTTGAGTGGACGGTACAAGAATGATGAACTCACCACCTACTCAGGTCCCGCCGACCAGCGTGTTGTACAAGCTGGACAAGGTGGCGTACAGCACCCCTCCGCCGGTCAGCTCGGACCCGGCCAACAACGAGTGCAAGCTGATCGAGTACCGGGGAGCCAAAGTAGCCAGCTTCACCATCGCCGGCGATCTCATGATCTGCCTGCCCCAGGCTTTCGATCTGTTCCTCCGGCACCTAGTCGGCGGCCTGCACACGGTCTACACCAAGCTGAAGCGGCTCAACATCATCCCCGTGGTTTGTAACGTGGAGCAGGTCCGAATCTTGCGGGGCTTGGGGGCCATCCAGCCCGGAGTCAATCGTTGTAAACTGCTTACCAGGAAAGAGTTCGACATCCTGTACGAAGATTGTACCACGGCAAGGTAAGGAACTTGTCTTTTTGACACAATGGGCTGCATATGCGTACAGAAAGATTGCGGAAAGATTTTAACAAAACAGGTGTGCATCAAATGAGTCGGAAATTTCCCCGTAAATTACGACTACAAGAAACTGGTTTTGCTTAGTGAATTAGCATTTCTGAATAAATTGTGAGGATTTTTTTCTTCTTCAGAGTCTTTGGTAGATGTATCGATGTTCAATCTGTTGTAATTGAAGTCAAGCGCTTGTTTTAATGTTCAAAAGCCAAAAACTGCTTATGCTGGCAGGATTTACAAATTAACAATTACAAAGTAGCCTAATTGTAAAAATCAATCCCCCTATAAAAAACCAACACCACAACTTTGTCTTTTTATGTACACATTCAAAAATTAAAAGAACACAAATTAAAAGAACACTGAAATTGAAACTTCTGATAATTTCATTAATGGTTATAACAAATAATTTAACTTCAGTTAAATTTTGCAAACAGGTTATTGTTTGTCTTATTAATTGTAAGTGCATAAATTAAAAATACAATTTAAGCCTCCACTACTAGTAATTCTGATGTTGAAATACAAAACAAAAAAGTTTTCCAAATAAAGGTTTTAACTGATAGTAGTAGGAGAAATACCAGATTAAAATTGTAGCCACCAATGCTAAATTTGCAAAGGACACACACTGAGTTTACATATGATCATGATGATAGTTGTGTGACAACTAAAACACAACCTCGTAGTCATAAGGCAAACAAATGTACACAACATGCATGCCTGACCAGGCAGCTTTTGTTTTGTGGGCAAATATTGTGTTGATAAATTGGCAATCTTTTAATAGCGTGATATCTGAATGATTAATAACCGATAGTCTGATACTGGTGTTGTTTTGCTAGCCGTGTCGTGACGCAATAAGTGAGCGACGATCTTTCACAAACGAATGATACTCCAGTTGAAAAAACAGTGTTCGTTCCAAGTCCAATATTATACTAGTTACCATGTTTAGTGTAGAAAGCACATTTTTTTCTGAATCATTTTCTTTAAATTACCAACCTGCAAAGTTTTGTATGGCCAAGTAACTTCAGACTTCATATTTTTAGGCCTATGGTTAAAATAAAACAAGTTTGTCAAATTTCATATCATGATAATTTACAATATAGATGGAGACTTGCAATTTACATTGTAATTTGGAAAAAAGGTGTTGCTTAAGGGCAAACTTTTTGGAACAATTATTTTGAGTCTGAAGAACAATTTCAGTTTTCAGGACTCTGGTCATCAAGAGCTACACACGTTTCATTGAGTTGAACTCAATCTTTCATTCAACAAAAGCGGTATTGGAAAAAACTCAAAAGATTTTGTTGGCCATTGTGTGATCAGTGTGCACTTGACCAGGAATACCACTGCACAATCGCTATCCAAACTTACACACAACAATGTTGCTCGCTTGGCTTGACACATTTTATGAATTGCAAAAAAAAAAAAACCTGCACACGGCTGGCCGTCAATAAAACCCAGCGACTGCAGAATTGCCATAAACAAATTAAATTTCCCTTGTTGAGGTTATAAACGGATGTGGCACAGTTACAGATTTTCATTCAGCGGCTAGGTTGTCTGTATCCACGTCAAGCTTGAGATTTTTATTGTAGGATTCCCCCCTGTTAAAACGGCCCCGAGCTGTACTTGTTTACATTTTCGAAAAACAGAATTAGGAACAAAAGCTGTCATTTATTACCCGGGATAATGTGTTCCAGTCTTCGCCGTAAAAAGAAAATTTGGTTTTAGTGGGGAGCCGTTATGCTGCAGCCATATACCTCAGGATGTTGATCGTAAATTGTTGGAATGTAGCATTTACTGAGGCATTTCCAGCTTTCTTTCTCTAGTTGTTCATCTGGCGCGCTCACCAAATTTGTTTACGTGAATTTGTCTCCTATATCCTTGTGGAATAATAAAGGCAGCTAGTGTGTATACCCTGGTGAAAAGCTTGCCTCCAACTTTTTTTGTACATGGTGTAAAAGTGTTTGTGTCTGAACAAGTTATCTTTGAACTAGATCTGGTTTACCTTGTTTCTGGGTGAACTTGAAGCTGAATTGAGGTCGTTTAAAAAAAAAAAAAGTTCCAGAGACGATAAATAATGGGTAATAATAGTTTGACGCAACTCATCTTTTTCAAATAAAAGGCAAAATTCTCTATTAACTGTTTTTCTTTTTTTTGTTATTGCGAACCCCCCCCCCCCCCCCCGCAAAAAAAATAAGATTAAATTTTCTTGTAATAGCATTTACCTTGTAACACGGCATATGCCATACACTTTTGTTGTTGAAAACAATCTACTGAAAGTTCCCAGACATTGGAAGTTGGGGAGATTCTAAAAAAAAACATTATAAGGGAAGTTTGTGAACAATTATTCCTGTTGTCTGACCGTTGTCAGCAGTTTTTACTGTAAAAGTAAAATGTGAACTTTATTTCCATGTGAGAGAGCCTTTATTCCATTTTTTTCTCAATACTATTTTCATTAGGGGGATACTATTTTCTGTGCCCTCGATTTATGTGCACGTATCTTGCCAATCATTTCCTGTATGTGCCCCCAAAGACTCCAATTGGGCCCCCGTTTTAGTTACAACCTTCTAGAAACTACAAGCCTTATCTGGCCTGCCTGTACTTAGCAAAGCATTGGAAAGTGGTTTGGCCTGTTCCTGTTTTCGAAGCGGGAAATAAACTGAAAAATGTGTTCGCAAGCGTTCCAACCGTGGTGGCCCCCTCAGTGGCCATATTGGTTTGCTTTATGACACCCACTCTAGTTTCCTTAAAAAATATTATTTGAGAATTTTAAAAATATTTTGTTGTGTGTTTTAAATCTGACAAACAAGTTTATGATACGTGCTGTAGTTTAGGAGTGTCTTTGAAAAAAAGTGGTGCTCCAATATGATTTGAATAATTTTGCTTTTCTTTTTTTATTGTATTGACTAATTCCATTATACTAAATCAGAAATAAGAGGCAAACGGATTAAAGAACTATCAAACTTATTTCAAATGCAGTATGCAAAAAGAAACTCAATAAAGCCAGTTACCGATAATTACTATTTAGATTGTGAAACTTACAGACATAAGATACATGTAGAACAAGAGTAAAAGTAAACAGAAGAAAGGGACAAATGATGATACATTTCTTAAAATTGTGACAAGTGACTCATTTTTAGTGCCAACAATGTTTGTAAACAACGAAAATGGGTAATAAAATTAATAACACTAAAGTAGATTGCCTGCTTGAAAGTAGTTTTGGATGGTTTGTATACATTACAGAGAGTCCCTAAACATTGTTTTTTTTTGTCTTATCCAAGTGTCTTTCCACCCTTCGTCTTGTGATTATTCAGCAGTTTGATCAAGAACGCATCCTCGATGGCTTGAAGACGCCTCGGTCGTTGTCAATATTTGACCAGCGTTACGCCAGGGAGACGGGTCAAGTGGCTGGGATTGTGTTATTGGGGAATGGCAAGGGTCTAGCCCCGGCCTCTTTTCATAGTTCTCAGATCAAGTGATCCCCCCAGTCAAGTGGCTCTGAAAGGTTGAATAGACTGTGTGCCCGAGTCCTGGCCTCTTAAGAAGAAGGGGTGTTTTACCTGCCCAGACTGTTAAGAGAACACTATAGTGACAGTTCCGCCTCGTACTGCGACACGATCACTGCTTGTCAAAAAGTCACTACCTGTACGCGCAGTGTAGACTGGATGCGGCACTGCATCTTGTCTGCGAATTTAAAGGTCCTATAAATTTGGAGTCCACTGTTTTCTTGTCCCTGTTACATCTGACATCTATGATTTTATAATTCTTATGCATTCCTGAATGCATTCTTCCTCCAAGAGTGATTTTGTGAAGCGAACCCAACAAATTATACAAATTAGTTTGACGTCATTTTTAATGACACCTGAATGGCAAATGACAAAGCTACGAGGTAACGGTAACATGATAAATGTCACACTTAGCACTGTAGATTTAAAGAAAGACCCAAATGTTGAGTCCATAATTTACAAGTCCACAAAATGCCTCACAAGTCCATCACAAGCCATCCATTCACAAGTCCAGTCACAAGCTATTCACATGGACTGTGACGACGGCATTGCAACCCCTGTTACTTGTGAATAGACTTCTGAGTAACTAGCGACTGGACTTGTGATGGAATCACGTTCAACTACAAAACTGCAAATGTACGTGATCAAATGGATTGAAAATTTGACAGAAATGAGCAATGGGTACATACGTCCCATCAGTGTTAGTCATTCCTGTTCACAAATGATGATTCAAAACTCCATCAATCACGCACATGAATTATTCTCCTCAGGAAAGTTCTTGAAATGAATTTATTTCCTGCTGAAGTTGCGCTACCCGGGCTCTTTAACACATTCGTGTTCGGGATTATTCGATTCAAACTTAACTTGTTGAAAGTAGTTTGTAATTAGAGCCGTGCACAGAATTGGGTTTGCATTAGCCTGGGGCCGGTTTTCTGTGAAGCATTTTTATAATTTGTAAATTAATATTTGTATGAAAAACACTCCTTTTGTGTATAATCGATAGGGATGTGGTTACAAAATGTATATTAACCTTCAATCCATTTGTTCCATTTGTATGTAAATGCTGTATATTTTAGAACGCAGCTTTCAAATTCAATTAAATCCAGCACAATAAAGACTTTTTTGTAATTGAAAAAAAAAAAGGTCAATAATACTTCAAAAAAAAAAAAAAATTAGGAAAATCCTAAAGTCAAATAACACTTGCCTCGGGAAAAAAAAATGCAGCGACGAGTGTGAACTGAATGGAAGGATTTGTCATCCTTCAGTAGAAAACCATTCATTTAACACAACATCTGTCACTCCAATTGTGCAAAAAAAAGTACAATGCCGAATGCTATCCCTGGCCAAGTCCAGAGAGCACACCGGGTTTAATTCATATGAGACATTTCGGGCCGTGAAAATTCTTGATAAGCAGACAGCCGATTGCATTTTTAATGATCAGAATAAATCGTGATAGCAATCGAGATCTGGT